TGTTGAACTAAACAATCAACAACCACCTGTTGAACTAAACAATCAACCACCACCTGTTGAAGTAAACCAACAACAACCACCTGTTGAACTAAGCCAACAACAACAACCAGTTGAACTACAAAAACAACAAACACCTGTTGAACTAAACAATCAACCACCACCTGTTGAACTAAACAAACAACATCCACCTGTTGAACTAAACAATCAACAACCACCTGTTGAACTAAGCCAACAACAAAAACAATCACCTGTTAAACTAAACAAACAACAGCCACCTGTTGAACTTAACAAACAACAACCAGTTGAACTAAACCAACAACAACCAACTGTTGAACTTAACAAACAACAACCAACTGTTGAACTTAACAAACAACAGCCACCTGTTGAACTTAACAAACAACAACCAGTTGAACTAAACCAACAACAACCAACTGTTGAACTTAACAAACAACAACCAACTGTTGAACTTAACAAACAACAACCAACTGTTGAACTTAACAAACAACAACCATCTGTTGAACTTAACAAACAACAACCAACTGTTGAACTTAACAAACAACAGCCACCTGTTGAACTAAACAAACAACAACCAGTTGAACTAAACCAACAACAACCAACTGTTGAACTTAACAAACAACAACCAACTGTTGAACTTAACAAACAACAACCAACTGTTGAACTTAACAAAAAACAGCCACCTGTTGAACTAAACAAACAACAGCCATCTGTTGAACTAAACAATCAACAACAACCCGTTGAACTAAACAATCAACAACCACCTGTTGAACCAAACCAGCAACAACAACCAACTGTTGAACTAAACCAGCAACAACAACCACCAGTTGAACTAAACCAACAACAACCAGTTGTATTAAACCAACTACAATACCAACCAGTCCAACTAAACCAACAACAACCAGTTGAACTAAACAAACAAGATCAACAACAGCCACCTGTTGCACTAAACCAACAACAACAACCTGTTGAACTAAACAATCAACAACAACCTGTTGAACTTAACAATCAACAACCACCTGTTGAACTAAACCAACAACAACAAACAGTTGAACTAAACAAACAACAACAACCTGTTGAACTAAACAATCAACAACTACCTGTTGAATTAAACCAACAACAAAAACAATCACCTGTTAAACTAAACCACCACCAACAACAACGACAACCTGTTCAACTAAACCAACAACAAGTAGGTGAACCAAACCAGCAACAACAACCAACTGTTGAAGTAAACCAGCAACAACAACCACCAGTGGAACTAAACCAACAACCAGTTGTATTAAACCAACTACAATACCAACCAGTCCAACTAAACCAACAACAACCAGTTGAACTAAACAAACAAGATCAACAACAGCAACAAAAACAAAAAGTTGAATTAAACCAACAACAACACGTTGAACTAAACCAACAACATCCAACTGTTGAAATAAACCAGCAACAAAAACCTGTTCAACTAAACCAATCACACCAGGTTACGCTCAACCAGCAGCAAGAAGCAGGACAACGAGTTGAAATAAACGAACAACAACAACCACCAGTCCAACTAAACCAACAACAACAACCAGTTCAACTAAACCAACAACAACAACCACCAGTTCAACTAAACCAACAACAACAGCAATATCCAGTTCAACTAAACCAATCACTTCCTCTTAAGTTAGACCAACAACAACAACCATTAGGTTCTCTTAGCCAACAACCACAAGTTCAACTCAACCAACACCCGCCAGTTCAGCTATACCTACAACAACCAATTCAACTCAACCAACACCCGCCAGTTCAGCTATACCTACAACAACCAGTTCAACTAAACCAACAACAACCACCTGTTCAAGTTTACCTACAACAACCAGTTCAACTCAACCAACAACAACATCATCAACAACCTCTTGAACTAAACCAACAACAACACATTGAACTAAACCAACAACCACTAGTTCAACTACATCAACGACAACAACAACAACCTGCTCAACCAAATCTTCAACAACGCAGAGTTCAACATAACAACCAACAACAACGATCAGTTGAACTTAACAAACAACAGCAACCAGCTAAACAAACCAAACAACAACCAGCTCAACTAACCCAGAAAAAACAACAACCAGTCCCACTAAATCCCAAAAAACAACAACAGCCAGTTCAATTAAATATTCAACAAAACCGAGTTCAACTAAACCAACAACAACGAATTCAACTTAGGAAACAACAACCAATTCAACCTAACAAACAAAAACAACCAGTTGAACCAAACAAACAACAGCCAGTTCAACTAAACAAACAACAACAACACCAATCACTTCAACTAACCCAGAAACAACAACAACAACCATTTGAACTAAACCAACAACAACCTGTTCAGCTTAACCAACAAAACCGAGTTCAACTAAACCAACAAAAACCAATTCAACTTAACAAACAACAACCAATTCAACTTAACAAACAAGAACAACCAGTTGAGCCAAACAAACAACAACCAGTTCAACTAAACAAACAACAACAACACCAATCACTTCAACTAACTCAGAAACAACAACAACCATTTGAACTAAACCAACAACAACCTGTTCAGCTTAACCAACAACAGGCAGTTCAACTAAACAAACAACAACAACAGCCTGTTCAGCTTAACCAACAAGCACCTTTTCAACTAAATCAACAACATATTGTTCAACTAAACAAATCACATCAGGTTACGCTAAATGAACAGCAAAAAGCAGAACAACCAGTTGAACTAAACAAACAACAACAGCCGCCACAAATTGAACTAAACCAAAAACAAAAACCAGTTCAAATTAACCAACAACAACCACCTGTTCAACTAAACCAACAACCACCTATTCAACTAACCAAACGGCCGCCTGTTCATTTAACCCAACAAACACCTTTTCAACTAAATCAACAACATCCTGTTCAACTAAACCAACAGCAACACCCGCCACCAGTTGAACCAAACAAACAACAACATCCCGTTCAACTAAACCAATCACATCCTTTCACGCTAGACCGACAACTACAATCATCAGTTTCTTTTAACCATCAACAACAACAACCACAACCACCAGATCAACTAAGCCAACAACAACCAATTCGACTTAACCAACAACAACCTCTAGTTCAACTCAACCAACAACCACCTGTTCAGCTGTACCTAAAACGACCAGTTAAACTAAACCAACAACCACCAGTTCAGCTATATTTAAAACAACCAGTTCAACTGAACCAACAACAACCACCAGTTCAACTATACCTACAACAACCAGTTCAACTAAACCAACAACAACCCCCAGTTCAACTATACCTAAAACAACCAGTTCAACTAAATCAACAACATCAACAACCTGTTGAACTCAACCAACAACATCAACAACCTGTTGAACTCAACCAACAATATCAACAACCTGTTGAACTCAACAAACAACAACAACCAGTTGAACTAAACCAACAACAACCACCTGTTGAACTAAACCAACTACAACAACAACCACAACCACCAGTTCATCTAGACCAACAACCACAACCAGTTCAACTAAACCAACAACAACCACAACCACCAGTTGAAGTAAGCCAACAAAAACCAGTTGAAGTAAACCAACAACAACAACAGCAACCAGTACAACTTAATCAATCACAACCAGTTGAACTAAACCAACAACAACAACAACAACAACCATTTGAACTACTCCAAAAGGCACAACGAACCAAAGGATTAAATCTAGAAGAGCAACAGTCATTTAAAGCAAACGAAAAGAAAAATCCCAAAGACTCACGTCCAGAAACTGAAATTGTTCAACAATTATTCCAATTTGGCGTTAAACCCAAACATGACCAGTTAAACCTACTACCTGTGGAGTCGACTCACTCAGAACAACAGAATGAAACTTTGAGAAACCAGACAGCTCTTAGACAAGAGAATCAAGTAGATCAACAACCGTTTGAGAATCTTCAACTGGTGCCACTCTCTTCCAATATTTCACAGTTATCTCCTCCAGATAACAATACAATAGTCAAACCAGATACAATGACAACAAAAACTCCAATCGAATTGATCCAAAATTCAATCTCAGCGACTCAACAAAATCTTGGTCAATTGGCTGGTTTTAAGTCAGATCAAACAACCACCACTACGCCAACAACGGAACAACCAGCTAAAGAACCAATCGTGATTGCTTCAGATCCAGGTGGCCTCATGTCAATCAAACAACCACCAATAATAAATCCATTTTTTACAAACGTACCTTCCCCTAGGGTGACCACTAGCCCACCGAGTACAATGCCAGATATTGGACAACAATACCAACCCACAATACAACTAGATTTTACAACAATTTCTACAGTGCAGTCCAACAATATTCCTCTCCTAAAACCAAATGATGGACAAACAGCTTCTTCCTTAGACGCTCTCTCCCATGGAGATCATGTCACTGCCATGTCTACATTACAGATACCATTATCGATGAAACAATCCCCAGCAAAGACTAATTCACGAACAAATAGTTTACCATTACAGAGATCAAGCAGTGTCAACCCCTTTATGAAACAACAACCTTTTTGGACACCAGCCTGATACTTTTACAGTTCCTCCTTACCCGAACTCTGAAGTAGCATCAGCATCTACGACCGTAGGGTATCAGAGAATCACTAAAAGACAAGCTGATAGGCCCACAGCAGTACGACCATCTCGTGGATTTCAACATCTACTGCCAATCGAGATTAAAAACATGTACAATGAACTCTTATCACCTGGAGTGTAGGGGTAGCGTGTCAATTTCAGAAGACGTAGAGAAGTATCTGTATTAATGACACAGGGACAGTGGGATTTTAAAACAAAAATGTGTCATTGTCAGCACAAAGGTTACTGTAAATAAATATACCAAAATATACTATGTGGACTCTCTGAAAGAGTTGTCTAGTATACAAACCTAAATACCAAACAAACATTATAAGTTATTTAGAAGGTTACAGTAAACAATCCAACTAAAAATGTATATTTATATAGAAAACATATATAAATTTTATAATTCGTGATTTGTCTATCGTCTAACAAATTGTAGCCCCGCAAGCAAGTTTTTCGGACGTAAACCTAGCTCCGCCACTGGAGCGGACACGTCGGGACGGATGAAATTCTCAGAGATGAAGGAATATTTTGTAATAAAGTGATGGTAATTTGTAAAAAAGGTTTTCTTAATTCCCATGTATAATGAACACATATAGCATCGATTTGTAATCAAACATCTGTGGTTCTTGCAATTTGACAATTTCCATCAAGCGAGAGATGTTAAACATGCAATATCTCTACCACAAATCCTTAGCACACTAATTACAGTTGCATATATAGTATTACCGTTATGCACCAGCCCAACAGTGAGCTGCAGGGGGCGATCAATTAACTTCCAAGAAGAGATCGAAAAATTACTAGACCATGGTTATCCTTGAAATTTTACACGATTTTAAAGTTGCAACCATTTTGTCGAATTCTTACTAAACAGCGTGAACTCTGCCTTTTCCCTCAGATTATATAATCAGTTAAAAGATACACAGATAAAAAGATTCAGTTTAAGCTTTGTGGAATAAAAATAGAACTACTGAAAAAAAGACAACACGACTTTCTCCTTTTATTCGCCTCTTATATTTTTTTATTTTGGCAGACGAAAACAACTTCCGGTTTCTGTAAATAACAAAAAAGTGACATCTACTTCTACCGTTACCATTAGATCACTTCCGGCTGTATCTGGAAGCCACCATTTTCAATCAACATGTGAATCATTTTAGAATCTATGATGTAAACGTTGCTAGTAATAGTTAGGACGTCTTCGTTCGTCATTGTATTTCTTTTATGTGACATCTAACAACGTTTAACTCTTAATGCTTCAAATAGTGTAATGATTATCGTGTATTAAAACGAGTTGTAAAAAACGAAGGGATTGCATATTTCAAAAACACGAAAATATATATTCAATATATATATACTCACTGGCTCAACTACCATGGGGATTGGTTAAAACAAAATTCACGGCCCGTCACCCCTAGAAATAGAATGAAATGAATGGAGTTTTACGTCCTACTATTCTGCACTATGTGAGATAATGAAGGCGGCCGTCACCCCTAGAAAATACAGAAATAAATAAAGTACCAAAGTATAGCTTACAGTTATCATCAAACTAAACAACCAGCAATATATAATTAAATAGAATAGAATTAACTACTGACTGAAAATATTTAAATCTTCCATTAACAGGCATTAAATAGACTTAGTAAGGGGTCTCAGAATGCGGAGGGCATATGTTAAACAAACTTCCCCGGGGTAGGGGGTCCCAACCGACTTAGTCTACGGGGCCCTACTATTCTAGTTAAGCTACTGTATAGGCCACAGTTTTATTTCTATGCCCGAGGTTGACAACTTGCGTCACATCTCCTTATTCTAACAGTTTTTGTGCCAAACCATTGAAAATAACTTAAATTTCATCAAAATCACAAAAAAATCAAGACAAATATAAAATTTTTATTTTAATATTCAACAACATTTTGTCATACTGTCAGCTATCGGAACTACGCCATGCGATTTTAAAACCTCTGGAGTCTCATAATTCATTTAGAAAAACTTGACAAACCAATGAGTAAATTTTCTATAATTATTCATTTCGGATTCTGCAGACGAAATTAGACCTTTGAAGGCTTCAAAACGTGGTATTTCAAGGTTTAAAAAGAATAGTCGTTTTTTAAATCATTTTGCGTAAAATGCAATTTGGATTATTGTTAGTTTAGCAAGTTTAAACAAATGGATTTTAACTTTTCTTTTCGGATATTACCCCTAGAATTACATAAATTTGACTGAAATTTGATAATTTTATATAGTTCTTGTATTGGATTTTAACTGTGCTTCTCGAAGGGTTAGATAAATAGAAATTCGACTGGAACTCGCCGTGTAGTGTTCACGCATGTTTCAGATAGTAAATCCTCATCGGGACAAGACAACTTTCTTTATCAGAAAGCACTGAAAGTGTTGGAATTAGTGGAAGAAAGAGGAATACTGTTTCTTGTAATATTTTAATTCAGACCAGTTCTGTTTTAGCGGAATTGGTATAACTGTGATTTTGTGAACAAGTTTAATGTTTATAGTGTTTAGAAAAGTATAAGTGGATATTATTTCCGAACTACTGATCTGATTAGTAGAAAGGGTTCTCGAATCATACTTGTGGATTAATTTACGAAATTATGTGGCGGTAATTTTTGAATTGTGGAAGAAATATAAAACAAGATGGAATATACAGCTATTTTGCTATTTTTTACGGCGACATTTCAAACAGGTTGGTACATCATTATAATTTTATTTCGTATTAACAATCAAGATTGTGAGCTTTATTTATCGTGGCAGAACACCAGACCCACGGGGCCACCAAACTGTTAGTTTTTATCAAAGACGACATTTCATTTCAGTAAAAACTTTACAAATATACCGTGAAATGAAAATATCACTGAAAATTCTTTTATAAAAAGGCAAAAAAAAAATGTGACGTTTTTCACACCAAAAAGACACTTTCATTTTGATTATTGATCCGTTGAAATAGTTAATTGATTAAAAAAATAATTGATAGAACCAGCTGTAATTTTTTGTGAGAATTCAACGCAACTTATTTGTGAAAACCTCTAAAGTCAAATCAGAAATTACTCATATACCATTCCATGCACAAAAAAACCTTTTAATAGGATGTCGACTTGAATTCTTCAATTTCTCTTGTTTCAGGATATTTTCAGGCTTTACCCCCAGAAGCCGAGCTGGAAGTAGCCGGATTTTTACCCTCGAATACACCACGAAGATCCAGCCCTACCAATGCAGAATTTGAAAGGAAGGCGAGTAAGATCAGATTACCACCGTTATCCCCGGCGTTAAAGAGCGCTCAGCAATATCTAAAATGGATCCAATCTGGCAAGCACTCGGGAAGAAAACAGGCTCCACAGAAAGAGATGCGTAAATCAAAAATGGCAACTTTTTCTAACCCTAAAAAACTTCCAGTAGATCCGGTGAGGACGAGAGATCCGATGGGGACGAGAGATCTACCTCCTGAATACCAGATTGACACGCTTCCAGGAATTTACCCACATAATTCACAGACACAGGTTACACCCGAGTCGGATCCGATTTTCAACCCTTCAACCCAGCCTGGGCTCACAACAGATCCAATATTTCGACCACCAGATCAATTCCTATTCAACATTCATGTATCCGGGCTCACTCTACCGGGAACAGTGCCTGGTATCTACCCAGCAGAACCTGGTGATCCAGCTCAATTCTCTATCCCCGACGTGAACAAAACTATTAAAAAACCACCTCCATCGTTTGAAAAAAATATCCAAGCGGTAAAAACGGATCAAAATTTGCATCGACTTCAAAATAGTCATGGACAAACTCCGAACATGCGTCAGCAGTTGGAAAGCAAACAAAAGCCTTTCCAACAATCCAAAAACTTGCTGGTTTCCAAAGCAAACCGTCGACCTACGACTACACCAAAACAGAAGCAGCACACGGGACTTCGAATGAACATGTTAAAAGTACCAGAACTTGCCTTTCTTAGAAATCGGAACACCAAACCGGAAGTAAAGCAGAGAAGACGTATCGTACCACTTCCGGGTTCCAAACCAGACATTGAGGTTCAGCAGTTGTTCGGATCAAGCAGACACAAAATCTTATCCCTAACAAGAGCCAGTAGGAAACCCCCTGAATCGGGGAGTTCTAAACTCAGCGTGAGAGCAAATGTTCAAGCAGTTCCAAAACAACTACAGAGTAAACCAAATCGAATCCCGAATACCGTCATCTCCAGACAATCCAATTCACAGCCAACGAGACATTTAAACGCTCCAAAGAGCACGCAGAGACCAGACCAAAGATCAATTCGATTGAGACAAAATTCGACAAAACCCGTGGTACCTCAGACATTACCCATGGCTCCAATGAAATTCATTAATACGAACAGGAATCCCCCAAAGCCACAAGTAATCCTACAACACTACAAGCAAACTGACCGGAAAGACAGGCCAGATTTGTCTCGTTCTACAGACGTCAGACCTCTGTCTCGATCGAAAGAAGTCAGACCTTTGTCCCGATCGAAAGAAGTCAGACCTTTGTCCCGGTCGAAAGAAGTCAGACCTTTGTCCGGATCGAAAGAATTCAGACCTTTGCACCGATCGAAAGAAGTCAGACCTTTGTCCCGGTCGAAAGAAGTCAGACCTTTGTCCCGATCGAAAGAAATCAGACCTTTGTTCCGATCGAAAGAAGTCGGACCTTTGTCCCGATCGAAAGAAGTCAGACCTTTGCCTCGATCGAAAGAAGTCAGACCTTTGCCTCGATCGAAAGAAGTCACATCGTTACCTCTTTTTCAAACCCAAAGGAACAATGGCAACAGCAGAACGTCTATGAGGCGTCCGAATCATGAAGACTTACCATTGTTAGATCAAATACACGAAGCGAAGAAACGGATAAGCGTTCTAGAACAGTTCAAAAAGCAGCCGAATCCAACTCGAAGTTTTATGGACGTCAAACTTGATGATGACAGTTTGTTTAATCGGCGGGCTCAAAATATAAAGAATCTACGGACTGCTACGGAAAAGGAGATGAAAAAGGCGTTGTTTCAGATTAAAAACAAGCCTCCTCCGAAACAGACTCTTGAAAGCCTAGCTCGATCTCGATCTCAGCAAGAGAAACCCAAGCCTCAATTACGACCGAAACCCAAATCAATTGCTAAACTTCAAATTTTGTCTCAGTCCCGAAATCAATCCCAAGCTAGGGAAAAGGAGGCGAAGCAACGAGGTCAGTCTCGTGTGCGTTCACCCAAGCCAGTGTCACCAAAAGGACCTAGGATGCTCTCCCTTTCCAAATCAATGGACGTGTCAAAATTGATTGTTCCACAAGAACCCGAGATAATCACCGTAGACAATTATAAGACTTCCCCACAAACATTTCCTCCACTTTCCGAGAAAGTCCCACAACAAACACTGCTGCCTGCACAGGACGATCAACAGCCCCGAATACCTGTGGAAAACAGTGAGTTCATGGGATCAGAAAAGAATATGGAAAATCCTCCAAATTCAAAAGATCTATCGAACACTTATCAGCCTTCTTTGGGTATTCCTGAAACATTTCCAGATCCTGACCAGTTTCAAGTTCCGGAAAGCGAGAATCAACAACAGCTTTCATCAACGCCACAGGGACAGAATACGGTTGAAATTAGCGAATCTAATCTCCAAGAGCTACTTCGAGTATATGAACTGCAGAAAAAGCAACTATCTACTCAGTCTGAAAAGGCTACAGATCAGAGGAAACCGGATCTCCAGCTGGATTATCCTGTACCGTTTTCAGACTTGCAAATCAAATATCTTAATGAACTCCTTGAATCCCAAAGTCAAAAGAAACCATCTACGCAAGACGTACCACAAGACTTACCACAAGACGTACCGCAAGACCGTAATTCTGTGCTGCCAGAAAGGAGACTGGAACCATATCACCAACGTCCTGAAACCAGCAGATCTTTCGATCAAATGCCATTAGCAAATTTACCCAATACTTTCATTGACGGAGCACAGGGACAAAAAGCGACGGATGAACCCTCTGTAGTCAATCCAAAGCTGATACAGAGACTTAGCAACGGATTGAGTAGTTTAGCAGGAACTCTTACTGGAGGTCAGAGACAGCCAAATGAAGACCCGGATGTATACCAGATTGCAATGCCACCAGTTATTGCATCAAAACCTCTATTAAAACCGAGATCGGATTTCCAGACAGATCACAGATCTAACATACCAAGACCAATAGTAGATTCATTACCTGCATTTCAAAGTGAAAGTAATCTGGCACAAGACCCCGTGTTTTCATATCCAGTTCCGTCGACATACGATCAACAGTCTTTGGCGAAATCTCTGTACGACCAGACTTCAATATCGGAATTCAATAGACCAACTTCAACGAATATAAACCCGGTTGCCGCTCCACCGGGACCCCGGGAAGCTTATGTATCGCCTCATATAAAGCAAGCGGCACGGGCATCAACTTATCAAGGCAATCCGACCACATCGACTTTTCAAGCTGACCCAATACCAATAAACCCAGTACCAGTGGGAGCAATATCTGCTTCTCCGGGTGATGAGATACCCATTCAATCACCCTTGTTCAGTCAAGCTTCTGCAACGACTGCCATAAGAAATCAATTTTCTCATGCGAAATCATCTCAAAACTCTCCACATCCATATATGGTCCACCCAAATTCTAGACCTGACCAGACTTCGGTACCCATACCCATGAATGTCAAGTCTACCAGCGGGGTTTCTAGTCAAACACAGGGATCACATTCACCTATCCAGATGGGTCCATTGATCGACCACGTTCCTGAACATTTATTTACACATAGGCAATCAATGACCAATCAACGTCCTGGACCTCAAAGAACCGATTCAGGATCTTCGAGGAGCTACCACATGCCCGTCCAAGTGTTTTCAACGGACAACCAAGCAGCACAGCCGTCCTCTCAGGGTAACCCAGAACTAGTACCGCCTGTTCAACCCGAGTCTTATGGACAACCGTATCAAGGAATGAACCAATCACCTGCTCAATTATCTCCAAGTACAAATCAAATGACTGACCAATCAGTTCGAAATCCATTTTCCGATCAGCAAATGTTCGATCAGATGTCTACGCTGCAGAACCAAGGCCAACCCAGACAGCAAACTCCACACGACGCTGCCAACCAACCGTCTTATATGAACAATCAACGGTCAACCCAGGTTCCAGGTCAAGTACAACCTGAGATGTCTTCACAGAACATCCCAAACCCGGGACAGATGCCGTATTTTGTAGATCAAGCCTCTGATCCGGTGTTATCCCAGACTTCATCCAGAATCAATCAGATGCCGGCTAATTCAGCGTCCCACATGCACGACATGTCGGCTCAATATCTGAATAATCCACCATCGGATATCAATCAAATCCCAGGACAAATGAACGATCAAGGACAGACACAAGCTATGAATGGTGAAGTACAAGGCCCAAGCTACCCCCAGATGAGTCAACTGCCGAATCAAGCCTACTCGGATACAAATCAAGCCTACCCTGGTACAAATCAGGCATACTCTGATACGAATCAAGCCTACCCTGGTACGAATCAGGCATACCCTGATACGAATCAAGCCCACCCTGGTACGAACCAAGTCAACCCTGGTACGAACCAAGCCTACCCTGATACGAATCAAGCCCACCCTGGTACGAATCAAGCCCACCCTGGTACGAATCAAGCTCACCCTGGTACGAATCAAGCCTACCCTGATACAAATCAAGCCTACCCTGGTACGAATCACGCCCACCCTGGTACGAATCAAGCTCACCCTGGTACGAATCAAGCCTACCCTGGTGCGAATAAAGCCTACCCTGATGCAAATCAAGCCTACCCTGGTACGAATCAAGCCCACCCTGGTACGAATCAAGCTCACCCTGCTACGAATCAAGCCCACCCTGGTACGAATCAAGCTCACCCTGGTACGAATCAAGCCTACCCTGATACAAATCAAGCCTACCCTGGTACGAATCAAGCCCACCCTGGTACGAATCAGGCTCACCCTGGTACGAATCAAGCCCACCCTGGTACGAATCAAGCCTACCCTGATACAAATCAAGCCTATCCTGGTACGAATCAAGCTCACCCTGGTACGAATCAAGCTCACCCTGGTACGAATCAAGCCTACCCTGGTACGAATCAAGCCTACCCTGGTACGAATCAAGCCTACCCTGATGCAAATCAAGCCTACCCTGGTACGAATCAAGCCCACCCTGGTACGAACCAAGCCTACCCTGGTACGAATCAAGCTCACCCTGGTACGAATCAAGCCTACCCTGATACAAATCAAGCCTACCCCGCTACGAATCAAGCCTACCCTGATACAAATCAAGCCCACCCTGGTACGATTCAAGCTCACCTTGGTACGAATCAAGCCCACCCTGGTATGAATCAATTCTACCCTGGTACGAATCAAGCCCATCCTGGTACGAATCAAGCTCTCTTGGAAGCAACGGTGCGACAACTAGCCGATCAAACACCATCCCAGATCAACAATCAAGCTGTGGACCAAATACAACCCATGGGATTTGGCCAAAGTAGTCCAAATCCTTTGAGTTTTCAAGCTCCAGAAACACGTTTACCTGATCCCGGTTTCACTACAGAAATTCGCCTTGTCCGAGTACCGATTTCACAGTTAACAAACCAGAGGCCGATCAATCCAAATTCTCAAGGTGCGTCTTTACCAAGAAATACCAACGACCAGATGACCCAGAATGGTCAGAACCAAGACTACATGATCCAAGTACAACCACAGGTCGTTCCTGCTGCTTCCATTGGAAGTAGGTCTACACAGCCAACAATTCAGGATCAACCACAATCGCCTCGTATGGTCTTTACACAAGAACAGTACATGGCCCTACAACAAGCCGTCAACGGTAACAGCAACATGGGGACGTCACAAAACAGAGGATATGCTTAGAACCACCAATTGTAAGTAATCGTTAGATAACTAAAATAATTCAAATATAGAAGATAGAATAATAGAAAATACGTATAAGTTATATTCCATCAAAATACTACTTACTCTAGCACCCATTAAATTGAAAGAGTTAGGATGATTCAGTTTTAAATGTTTGCCCTTCCCATGGACTCCTGTCCTGCATTTAATTTTCGCTTAAACAAAACTGCTTTTAAAATACCTGTTTTGTTTTCCATCCAACTGTCGATTGATATGACGAGACTCAATCGGTACAAAGAGCTAAATGTATGAACTGTTTGCTACTTTGTCACGCTGTCATTTCTTTCCACCAAACGATATAATACACATTATATTGATACTGTCTCTATCTCATTCATTTTTCAATTTTCATAATGGTGAAGTGTATTGCGATTTAAATACCCATTCTCTAGTGGTTTTACTGCGGTTTACTTAGTTCGGCTTGCGCTCTGCAACATATTACACCAACTGCCTCAAATTGACGATTGATAATTTATTGTACTATATTTGCAGGATAATGGTAAAAGAAATCAGTAATGGTAATTGTATATATGGTAAAAGATATTTCAGAATGTATGAAATCCCATCTTCTGATATGTCATGTTTCTCTGAATTTGTCAGGATATTATAGCCAGTTCGTTTTAATCAGAGATGCTGATTGGAATTTGGTGGGAGATTGTTGGTATCATGACAATGTTTACCTTCAATGTGTTGCAAAGCACAACAATTAACAATTTAACAAAGAGATATATAGACACAACTTTATGCAACAAAGATTTTGAGGCAATGTTTCGATGTGTGTCTGTATCTGAAGGCTGTAGGGAAAAGATGTGTCTATACGTACTTACAATTTCTAAATACATGTACCATTTTAAAGACTTAATTTAAAAGGATGGTGAAGAGGATTGTCATGTTCATGGGGGACACCAATAGCATCGTTTTGCACCAAGGTGTGTTCTATCATGGTTGGGCGAAGAACTATGTGGTTCAGTTGTTGATTTGTAAAACATGCCGTTGTAAAACATGCCGTTGTAAAACATGTTAACCCTAAACATGTCACTGTAAAACATGCTGTAAAACATGCCATTGTAAAACATGCTGTAAAACATGCCACTGTTAAACATGCTGTAAAACATGCCATTGTAAAACATTCCACTGTTAAACATGCTGTAAAACATGCCACTGTTAAACATGCTGTAAAACATGCCATTGTAAAACATTCCACTGTTAAACATGCTGTAAAACATGCCACTGTTAAACATGCTGTAAAACATGCCACTGTTAAACATGCTGTAAAACATTCCACTGTTAAACATGCTGTAAAACATGCCATTGTAAAACATTCCACTGTTAAACATGCTGTAAAACATGCCACTGTAAAACATGCCACTGTAAAACATGCCACTGTTAAACATGCCACTGTTAAACATGCTGTAAAACATGCCACTGTTAAACATGCTGTAAAACATGCCACTGTTAAACATGCTGTAAAACATGCCACTGTTAAACATGCTGTAAAACATTCCACTGTTAAACATGCTGTAAAACATGCCATTGTTAAACATGCTGTAAAACATGCCATTGTTAAACATGCTGTAAAACATTCCACTGTTAAACATGCTGTAAAACATGCCATTGTAAAACATTCCACCGTTAAACATGCTGTAAAACATTCCACTGTTAAACATGCTGTAAAACATGCCACTGTTAAACATGCTGTAAAACATGCCATTGTAAAACATGCTGTAAAACATGCCATTGTAAAACATGCCATTGTAAAACATGCCATTGTAAAACATGCCATTGTAAAACATGCCACTGTAAAACATGCCACTGTAAAACATTCCACTGTAAAACATGCCATTGTAAAACATGCCACTGTAAAACATTCCACTGTTAAACATGCTGTAAAACATGCCACTGTTAAACATGCTGTAAAACATGCCATTGTAAAACATTCCACTGTTAAACATGCTGTAAAACATGCCATTGTAAAACATGCCACTGTAAAACATTCCACTGTTAAACATTCCACTGTTAAACATGCCATTGTAAAACATGCCACTGTTAAACATGCTGTAAAACATGCCATTGTAAAACATGCCACTGTTAAACATGCTGTAAAACATGCCACTGTTAAACATGCTGTAAAACATGCCACTGTTAAACATGCTGTAAAACATGCCACTGTTAAACATGCTGTAAAACATGCCATTGTAAAACATGCCACTGTTAAACATGCTGTAAAACATGCCACTGTTAAACATGCTGTAAAACATGCCGTTGTAAAACATTCCATTGTTAAACATGCCGTTGTAAAACATGCCATTGTTAAACATGCTGTAAAACATGCCACTGTTAAACATGCTGTAAAACATGCCACTGTTAAACATGCTGTAAAACATGCCACTGTTAAACATGCTGTAAAACATGCCATTGTAAAACATGCCACTGTTAAACATGCTGTAAAACATGCCATTGTAAAACATTCCACTAAAACATGCCTTTGTAAAACATGCCTTTGTAAAACATGTCGTTATAAAACATGTCGTTATAAAACATGTCGTTGTAAAACATGTCGTTGTAAAACAGATGTAGACTCTACTTATTATAATAACAATTTAATATCAATATCTATATTCCCACGATATATATTACATATAAACATATTATATAATTAATCTTCAATATATTCTTATATACTTTATATATATATCTAAAACCACTGGCGG